TGGATGCAGTTGGATGCGGTTGGATGTGGTTGGATGCAGTTGGATGTGTTGGATGTGTTGGATGCGGTTGGATGCAGTTGGATGTGGTTGGATGCGGTTGGATGTGGTTGGATGTGGTTGGATGTGGTTGGATGCAGGTGGATGTGTTGGATGTGGTTGGATGCAGTTGGATGTGGTTGGATGCAGTTGGATGCAGTTGGATGTGGTTGGATGCAGTTGGATGTGGTTGGATGTGGTTGGATGCAGTTGGATGCAGTTGGATGTGGTTGGATGTGGTTGGATGCAGTTGGATGCGGTTGGATGTGGTTGGATGTGGTTGGATGCGGTTGGATGTGGTTGCCTGTGGTTGGATGCAGTTGTATGCGGTTGCATGCGGTTGGATGTGGTTGGATGCGGTTGGATGCGGTTGGATGTGGTTGGATGTGGTTGGATGTGGTTGGATGCAGTTGTATGCGGTTGGATGTGGTTGGATGCGGTTGGATGTGGTTGGATGCGGTTGGATGTGGTTGGATGTGTTGGATGTACCTGACTGGATGCAGTTGGATGCAGTTGGATGTGGTTGAATGCAGTTGGATGTGGTTGGATGCAGTTGGATGTGTTGGATGTGTTGGATGCAGTTGGATGCGGTTGGATGCAGTTGGATGCGGTTGGATGCAGTTGGATGCAGTTGGATGCGGTTGGATGTGGTTGGATGCAGTTGGATGCAGTTGGATGTAGTTGGATGCAGTTGGATGTGGTTGGATGCGGTTGGATGTGGTTGGATGTGGTTGGATGCAGGTGGATGTGTTGGATGTGGTTGGATGCAGTTGGGTGCGGTTGGATGCGGTTGGATGCAGTTGGATGCGGTTGGATGCAGTTGGATGCAGTTGGATGCGGTTGGATGTGGTTGGATGCAGTTGGATGCAGTTGGATGCAGTTGGATGTAGTTGGATGCAGTTGGATGTGGTTGGATGCGGTTGGATGTGGTTGGATGTGGTTGGATGCAGGTGGATGTGTTGGATGTGGTTGGATGCAGTTGGGTGCGGTTGGATGCTGTTGGATGTGGTTGGATGCGGTTGGATGTGGTTGGCTGTGGTTGGATGCAGTTGGATGCGGTTGGATGCGGTTGGATGTGGTTGGATGCAGTTGTATGCGGTTGGATGTGGTTGGATGCGGTTGGATGCGGTTGGATGTGGTTGGATGCAGTTGTATGCGGTTGGATGCGGTTGGATGTGGTTGGATGCGGTTGGATGTGGTTGGATGTGGTTGGATGCGGTTGGATGTGGTTGGATGCGGTTGGATGTGGTTGGATGCGGTTGGATGCGGTTGGATGCGGTTGGATGCGGTTGGATGTGGTTGGATGCGGTTGGATGTGGTTGGATGCGGTTGGATGCGGTTGGATGCGGTTGGATGCAGTTGGATGTAGTTGGATGCAGTTGGATGCAGTTGGATGTAGTTGGAAGTGTTGGATGAAGCTGGATGTGGTTGGATGCAGTTGGATGTGGTTGGATGCAGTTGGATATGTTGGATACGGTTGGATGCAGTTGGATGTGGTTGGATGTGGTTGGATGCGGTTGGATGTGGTTGGATGCGGTTGGATGTGGTTGGATGCGGTTGGATGCGGTTGGATGCGGTTGGATGCGGTTGGATGTGGTTGGATGCGGTTGGATGTGGTTGGATGCGGTTGGATGCGGTTGGATGCGGTTGGATGCAGTTGGATGTAGTTGGATGCAGTTGGATGCAGTTGGATGTAGTTGGAAGTGTTGGATGAAGCTGGATGTGGTTGGATGCAGTTGGATGTGGTTGGATGCAGTTGGATATGTTGGATACGGTTGGATGCAGTTGGATGTGGTTGGATGCAGTTGGATGTGGTTGGATGCAGTTGGATGCGGTTGGATGCAGTTGGATGTGGTTGGATGCGGTTGGATGCAGTTAGATGCAGTTGGATGTGGTTGGATGCAGTTGGATGCGGTTGGATGTGGTTGGATGCAGTTGGATGCAGTTGGATGCGGTTGGATGCAGTTGGATGCGGTTGGATGTGGTTGGATGCAGTTGGATGCAGTTGGATGCGGTTGGATGCAGTTGGATGCGGTTGGATGCGGTTGGATGCAGTTGGATGCAGTTGGATGTGTTGGATGCAGTTGGATGTGGTTGGATGTGGTTGGATGCAGTTGGATGTGGTTGGATGCGGTTGGATGCAGTTGGATGCAGTTGGATGTGGTTGGATGTGGTTGGATGTGGTTGGATGCAGTTGGATGCGGTTGGATGAAGATGGATGCAGTTGGATGCAGTTGGATGCAGTTGGATGTGGTTGGATGCAGTTGGATGCGGTTGGATGCAGTTAGATGCAGTTGGATGCAGTTGGATGTGGTTGGATGCAGTTGGATGTGGTTGGATGCAGTTGGATGTGGTTGGATGCAGTTGGATGCGGTTGGATGTGGTTGGATGCAGTTGGATGCAGTTGGATGTGTTGGATGTGTTGGGTGTACCTGACTGGATGCGGTTGGATGCAGTTGGATGTGGTTGGATGCAGTTGGATGCGGTTGGATGTGGTTGGATGTGGTTGGATGCAGTTGGATGTGTTGGATGTGTTGGATGTACCTGACTGGATGCAGTTGGATGCGGTTGGATGCGGTTGGATGCAGTTGGATGCAGTTGGATGTGGTTGGATGCAGTTGGATGTGGTTGGATGCGGTTGGATGCGGTTGGATGCAGTTGGATGCAGTTGGATGTGGTTGGATGCAGTTGGATGCGGTTGGATGCAGTTGGATGCAGTTGGATGCGGTTGGATGTGGTTGGATGCAGTTGGATGCGGTTGGATGCAGTTGGATGCCGTTGGATGCGGTTGGATGTGGTTGGATGTGGTTGGATGCGGTTGGATGCAGTTGGATGTGGTTGGATGTGTTGGATGTACCTGACTGGATGCAGTTGGATGCGGTTGGATGTGGTTGGATGCAGTTGGATGTGGTTGGATGCAGTTGGATGTGTTGGATGTGTTGGATGTGTTGGATGTACCTGACTGGATGCAGTTGGATGCGGTTGGATGCAGTTAGATGCAGTTGGATGCGGTTGGATGTGGTTGGATGCAGTTGGATGTGTTGGATGTGTTGGATGCGGTTGGATGCAGTTGGATGCAGTTGGATGTGGTTGGATGCGGTTGGATGTGGTTGGATGTGGTTGGATGTGGTTGGATGCAGGTGGATGTGTTGGATGTGGTTGGATGCAGTTGGATGTGGTTGGATGCAGTTGGATGCAGTTGGATGTGGTTGGATGCAGTTGGATGTGGTTGGATGTGGTTGGATGCAGTTGGATGCAGTTGGATGTGGTTGGATGTGGTTGGATGCAGTTGGATGCGGTTGGATGTGGTTGGATGTGGTTGGATGCGGTTGGATGTGGTTGCCTGTGGTTGGATGCAGTTGTATGCGGTTGCATGCGGTTGGATGTGGTTGGATGCGGTTGGATGCGGTTGGATGTGGTTGGATGTGGTTGGATGTGGTTGGATGCAGTTGTATGCGGTTGGATGTGGTTGGATGCGGTTGGATGTGGTTGGATGCGGTTGGATGTGGTTGGATGTGTTGGATGTACCTGACTGGATGCAGTTGGATGCAGTTGGATGTGGTTGAATGCAGTTGGATGTGGTTGGATGCAGTTGGATGTGTTGGATGTGTTGGATGCAGTTGGATGCGGTTGGATGGAGTTGGATGCGGTTGGATGCAGTTGGATGCAGTTGGATGCGGTTGGATGTGGTTGGATGCAGTTGGATGCAGTTGGATGTAGTTGGATGCAGTTGGATGTGGTTGGATGCGGTTGGATGTGGTTGGATGTGGTTGGATGCAGGTGGATGTGTTGGATGTGGTTGGATGCAGTTGGGTGCGGTTGGATGCGGTTGGATGCAGTTGGATGCGGTTGGATGCAGTTGGATGCAGTTGGATGCGGTTGGATGTGGTTGGATGCAGTTGGATGCAGTTGGATGTAGTTGGATGCAGTTGGATGTGGTTGGATGCGGTTGGATTGGTTGGATGTGGTTGGATGCAGGTGGATGTGTTGGATGTGGTTGGATGCAGTTGGGTGCGGTTGGATGCGGTTGGATGTGGTTGGATGCGGTTGGATGTGGTTGGCTGTGGTTGGATGCAGTTGGATGCGGTTGGATGCGGTTGGATGTGGTTGGATGCAGTTGTATGCGGTTGGATGTGGTTGGATGCGGTTGGATGTGGTTGGATGCAGTTGGATGCGGTTGGATGCGGTTGGATGTGGTTGGATGCGGTTGGATGTGGTTGGATGTGGTTGGATGCGGTTGGATGTGGTTGGATGCGGTTGGATGCGGCTGGATGTGGTTGGATGCGGTTGGATGTGGTTGGATGCGGTTGGATGCGGCTGGATGTGGTTGGATGTGGTTGGATGCGGTTGGATGCGGCTGGATGTGGTTGGATGCGGTTGGATGCGGTTGGATGTGGTTGGATGTGGTTGGATGTGGTTGGATGTGGTTGGATGCGGTTGGATGTGGTTGGATGGTTGGATGTGGTTGGATGCGGTTGGATGCGGTTGGATGTGGTTGGATGTGGTTGGATGCGGTTGGATGCGGCTGGATGTGGTTGGATGCGGTTGGATGTGGTTGGATGTGGTTGGATGCGGCTGGATGTGGTTGGATGTGGTTGGATGCGGCTGGATGTGGTTGGATGCGGTTGGATGCGGCTGGATGTGGTTGGATGCGGTTGGATGTGGTTGGATGTGGTTGGATGTGGTTGGATGCGGTTGGATGTGGTTGGATGTGGTTGGATGTGGTTGGATGCGGTTGGATGTGGTTGGATGTGGTTGGATGCGGCTGGATGTGGTTGGATGTGGTTGGATGTGGTTGGATGTGGTTGGATGCGGCTGGATGCGGTTGGATGCGGCTGGATGTGGTTGGATGTGGTTGGATGTGGTTGGATGCGGTTGGATGTGGTTGGATGTGGTTGGATGTGGTTGGATGCGGCTGGATGTGGTTGGATGTGGTTGGATGTGGTTGGATGTGTTGGATGTACCTGACTGGATGCAGACGGGCGTGCTGGTGTCGATGCGGGTTTTGCGTTTCCGGGTCACGTGGTCTCTGATCGGGATGATGAGAGGAGCTGAAATGGCGCCTGCTGCCATGGCAACCGCTGGCTGATCGATATCAGCGTCTGAGTGGCAGAACGATTGATTATCGATCTGTTGATCATAAACTTTGATGAACGTAGTTCAGATCCAGTTGTGACCCGGTTCTGAGCCTGGTTTGGTTCCGGTTCTGATCCGGTTCTGAGCCTGGTTTGGTTCCGGTTCTGATCCGGTTCGGTTCTGGTTCTGATCCGGTTCGGTTCTGGTTCCAGTTTTCACCGAAGCGCCGCTGTTGCGTTTGGCGTCACCATGACAACGGGCTCGGCTCCGCCCATGACTCTCAGCAACAATACTTAGATTATCGAACCAGAACCAGAACCAGAACCAGAACCGCCTGGTTTTACATGTTTGGTTTCCGGGTTTCACTAAAACAGCCGCAGGATTTTGCACATTAAAATCCAACCTGGAAATATTTTGTTTCATAAAAAGGAAGCAGAGTTTATGAAAGCAGCAGAATATCTGCAGGACCCCAACTGCTTTATGATCAGGCAGCGTCCAGGGCAGCTCGCAGCCGGAAGGACCCCGAAACATCCGGCTCTTCGCGACTCAGAAACCCGGTCCAGTCAAACCCGCACCGAGACACGGAACCACACAGTTGGGTCAGGATGGCAGAGGTGAAGGTGAAGAAGGAGACGAACCTTTCGGAACCGGCGGAGATAGAGAACAGGTGAGAAGAACCGAACCAGGAGAAACGCTTTCATTATTTTAATGTTTCCAGAAGCAGGCTCTGACCCGGTTCGGTTCGGGTGTTTCGCAGGATCAAGGAGCTGTGTCAGCAGTTTCCCCAGGGAATCACAGACCAGGTGATCCAGAACGACCTGCCTCACCTGGAGCCCCAGCAGCGCGCCATGGCGCTCAACAAGCTGCTGTCCCTGGTCAGTCACTTCCGGTTCCGGTTCGGTGGTTGTTCGCCGTATCGCTCTGACGATAAGTGGACCGGATCTGTGGAACATCAGCAGTAACCTGATCGTCTTCCTGTTTGTTTGATGTGAAACATTTAAGACACACGAAGAAGAAACTGGCAGGGTGTGAATCCTGACCTTTGACCCGACTGTGTTTCAGGGTCAGCTGGACCTGCTGAGGAACAGTTCGGGTCTGCTGTACCGGCTGAAGGACACGCAGAGCGCCAGGTAAGCTCCCCGCGGCCCGGTTCTGCCGGGTCGTTCCTCCCTGACGCTCCTCTGTGTTCCAGTAAGATGAAAGGTTCTGACAACCAGGAGAAGCTGGTCTACCAGATCATCGAGGACGCGGGAAACAAAGGTATCGTCCTGAAGATGGCCCGCCGTGATCGGGTCAGAACCTCACGGCCTCACGGTTCTGGTGTCGCCGCAGGAATCTGGAGCAGAGACATCCGCTTCAAGAGCAACCTTCCTCTGACGGAGATCAACAAGATCCTGAAGAACCTGGAGAGCAAGAAGCTCATCAAGGCCGTCAAGTCTGTGGCGGTGAGTCCAGAACCGCCCGGCCCGGTTCAGGCCCGGTTCAGGCCCGGTTGGTACAACCCAGGCTTATTTTGATTATTTTGATATTTGGGTTTTGACAGGATCGGTCCTCCATACACAACTGATATCTCTAAATGCACATTAAGTATAAATGATCAATCAATCAATAATCGTCATTATCATGATAGAAACATAATGTAATTTTATAATTATAAAATTATCAGGACTTGAATAAAATTGGTGGTAAACGGTAGCCGTGGCGATTAGTAAGCACAGGGCTGCTGGGTCTGAACTGAGGCGAAGAGGCAGCATCAGGTGATGCTTCCAGTTCATGGATGGAAACCTGCAGCAGCATCAGGTGATGCTTCCAGTTCATGGATGGAAACCTGCAGCAGCATCAGGTGATGCTTCCAGTTCATGGATGGAAACCTGCAGCAGCATCAGGTGATGCTTCCAGTTCATGGATGGAAACCTGCAGCAGCATCAGGTGATGCTTCCAGTTCATGGAATGAAACCTGCAGCAGCATCAGGTGATGCTTCTCCGGGCCGTTCTGCTGTGTTCCCACTCCAGGCCCGTTTATCCATGAAATGAACCCCAGGAATCCTAACCCTCTCCACCCTCTCTACCATGTCCACCCTGTCCACCGTGCTAAACTCTGTTGAAGTTTAGGACGGCCTGGCAGCGTGAAGAGCAGAGGGCCCGGCACGCTGCCCTGAGGAGCCAGAGCTGATGAGCCCCAATCTGACTGTGAGCCATTCGTCAGGAAGTTCTTAATCCAGCAACAGGTGGAAGAGGGGCTTCCAAGGCCTGCCAGTTTGCACACCGGTCTGTCAGGGAGGATGCCATGAAAGCGGAGCTGGAATCGGTGAAGGGGATGCAGCGTGCCACGGTTTCTCCAGAAAGCCTTGAGAGCCGGTGGTTCCAGCAGCTCGCCGTGTTTTCCAGTTTAAAAGAAAAAAAGGGCCTTTCATTGTCGACCGACTGTTACGACAAACCCCATGTTCCCTCCGCCATGTTCTGCTTTACAAACATTCATTCTGCTTGAACAAAGGAGCCTCCACTGCTGCTGTTCATGTAAAGGCTGAGCGCCGTCACTAAGGAGGCTTTAGTTTCCCTGATGATCCGTTTATTGATCATCAGGTTAGTGAGCATTGTTCAACTCCTAACATCTTATTACTCTGCTGAAGACTAAGATTTCCAAAGAAAACATCAACATATGATCTATAAACTAGGATCATCTTTGACTTACCAACCTGAACCTCTGTGGGCTTTCTTACACCAAACAATCTTTGCTGGCCCTTTTCTTGCAGGTTCAACATAAATTTGAACTAATAGTCAAAAGAGATTTGTGGTTTTCTAAGGGGAAGAAGTGGTTCTGCGCCGGTGAGAATCCCGTCAGCTGGATTCCCACCCTGACCTCCTGGCGTCGCTATGCTGGAGCTCCTCCATCTCCGGGTCGTCCCGCCTTCCCGTCCCGTTGGCTGGATGCGCCACACATCAGCCAATCACTCTGATTCACTTTATTAAAACGCCTTAATAGTTCAGTATCATTTTGGTCTGATGAACTCAGAAATGGGTTTGAATTCAAAGCACTTTTTATATATTCAGGTTTCTAGTCAGGATGCTGAAAACTGTAGGTGACCCAGTTCCGATGGTTCTGATGCGGTTCTGTCCTCTAGGCCTCCAAGAAGAAGGTGTACATGCTGTACAACCTGCAGCCGGATCGAACGGTGACGGGCGGCGCCTGGTACAGCGACCAGGACTTTGAGTCCGAGTTTGTGGAGGTTCTGAACCAGCAGTGCTTCAAGTTCCTGCAGAGCAAGGTACCAGCAGAACCCGTCTGGACACACACACAACGGTTCAGGTTTAGATGATTCAAGCCAGCAGGGGGCAGCAGAGGTCTGTGGCCTCAGTAATGAAAGTAGATCAGATGGAACCAACATGATCAGAGATAAACCCCATGTTCGTCCTCAGTTTTTCTTTACAACGGCTCCATGTGACCCCTGGTTGGGTGTGTGACCCCCAGTGGATCCTGTGACCCCCAGTGGATCCTGTGACCCCCAGTGGATCCTGTGACCCCCAGTGGATCCTGTGACCCCCAGTGGATCCTGTGACCCTCTCTGCTCTGCTCCCAGGCGGAAGCGGCGAGGGACGGGCAGCAGAGCCCGATGGTCCAGAGGAACAGCTCATTCGCAACGTCACATGAGGTGTGGAAGTACATCTGTGAGCTGGGAATCAGCAAGGTGACTCCGCCCCCCTGCAGTCCAGGCCCTTGGCAGCCGGTCTACCTGTGGGCTGACAGGTGTGTGTGTGTTGGGCACAGGTGGACCTTTCCATGGACGACATCGAGACTATCCTAAACACACTGATCTACGACGGGAAGGTGGAGATGACGGTGATCGCTGCCAAGGAAGGGACGGTGGGCAGCGTGGACGGCCAGATGAAGCTGTACCGCGGCGTCAACGCCATCCTGCAGCCCACCGGCCTCGTCAAGACGCCCTGCGGACTCTGCCCGGTGACCATGCCCCCTTGACGCACCCGCAGCCCCTCCCCAGCCTCAGCTGACCTCACCCTTCTGTCCTCTCTGCAGGTGTTCCACGACTGCCATGAAGGAGGAGAGATCTCCCCATCCAGCTGCATCTACATGAGCGAGTGGCTGGACTTCTGATGGGGCGGGGCCGGAGGAGCCTGATGGGCGGAGTCAGGGTACGGAGCGGGCGGGGCTGTGAAGACGGTTGGGTGGAGAGATGAACGATACAAACTGAAAACCCAATTGCTAAGAAACAAAATGAAACAGAAAAAAAATGGAAACAAAAACAGGAAGTGACAGCTGTGATCTCCTCCGGCCACTAGGGGGAGCCTGCAGTCGGCTTCATCACCTACATGCAGACGCTGCAGCTTTCAGCCTGACCCACGGATCGATGTCTGTTCCATCAGGCCCGGTTCTGCTCCATCAGGCCCTAATGGACCCGGTGCTGACAGTCAGTGCGGATCATCTTACACCACTTCCTGTCTCCGTATCGACCCGACAGGAAGCGGCTCGCCGCCCACAGCTCCGACTCCAGGGACAAAAACAAACGGAAAACTTCTCCGGTTCTGGATCTGGGCCTGGTGGTTCTGTTGGATCTGTGGGGAATTCCACAGAATTCCAGTTTCTGTGCTGCTGGTTTAGTTTGTGAATAAATGCAATGAAGCCTGCAGAGTTCTGGTCGGGTTCTGGCAGCTGCTGGGCTTTGTTGGGTTTAGATGACTCGGGTCTGTCAGTCTGGTTTGATCGGACTTGATGGTTCTGGTGGAAAAACATTAAAAATACATTGAAACAGCCTGAGTTCTTCTTCTGTGGTTTTTGCAGCGCCTCCTGCAGGATGAAGTCAGGATCTTCATGGGTCCTGGTGAGAATTACGGGTCGGAACCGGTCCAAGAGGTGGAACCTGACATAACCAGAATCCGGCCATCTCTGGCCCCGCCCCCACTGCCATGAACCAATCAAACCAGTTCTCTCACCAGAGGATCCTCATCCTGACCTGCTGACCTCTGACCCCTGCCACCTCTACTGTACTGTCTGCCTTCATTCATAAATCTTTGATCCTCCCGCAGTTCTTTATGAACAGTTCTTTGTTCACAGTTCTTTATGAACAGTTCTTTGTTCACGGTTTCTTTATGAATGGTTCTTTATGAACAGTTCTTTGTTCACAGTTCTTTATGAACGGTTCTTTATGAACGGTTCTTTATGACAGTTCTTTATGAACGGTTCTTTATGAACGGTTCTTTATGAACAGTTCTTTATGAAACAGTTCTTTATGAACGGTCTTTATGAACGGTTCTTTATGAACAGTTCTTTGTTCAGTTCTTTATGAACGGTTCTTATGAACAGTTCTTTATGAAACGGTTCTTTATGAACAGTTCTTTGTTCACAGTTCTTTATAACGGTTCTTATGAACGGTTCTTTATGAACGGTTTCTTTATGAACGGTTCTTTATGAACGGTTCTTTGTTCACAGTTCTTTATGAACGGTTCTTTGTTCACAGTTCTTTATGAAACGGTTCTTTATGAACGGTTCTTTGTTCACAGTTCTTATGAACGGTTCTTTATGAACGGTTCTTTTTGAACAGTTCTTTATGAACAGTTCTTTATGAACGGTTCTTTATGAACGGTTCTTTATGAACAGTTCTTTGTTCACAGTTCTTTATGAACGGTTCTTTATGAACAGTTCTTTATGAACGGTTCTTTATGAACAGTTCTTATGACGGTTCTTTATGAACGGTTCTTTGTTCACAGTTCTTTATGAACGGTTCTTTATGAACAGTTCTTTGTTCACAGTTCTTTATGAACGGTTCTTTATGAACAGTTCTTTGTTCACAGTTCTTTATGAACGGTTCTTTGAACAGTTCTTTATGAACAGTTCTTTATGAACGGTTCTTTATGAACGGTTCTTTATGAACGGTTCTTTGTTCACAGTTCTTTATGAACGGTTCTTTATGAACGGTTCTTTTGACAGTTCTTTATGAACAGTTCTTTATGAACGGTTCTTTATGAACGGTTCTTTATGAACAGTTCTTTGTTCACAGTTCTTTATGAACGGTTCTTTATGAACAGTTCTTTATGAACGGTTCTTTATGAACGGTTCTTTGTTCACAGTTCTTTATGAACGGTTCTTTATGAACAGTTCTTTATGAACGGTTCTTTGTTCACAGTTCTTTATGAACGGTTCTTTATGAACGGTTCTTTATGAACGGTTCTTTGTTCACAGTTCTTTATGAACGGTTCTTTATGAACGGTTCTTTATGAACAGTTCTTTGTTCACAGTGCCACTCTTCATGGCAGCTGATTCAGGATTTCTCTCCATCATGCTAAAGGCTAGCTTCCATTAGCGTAGCTCACACTGAGGCAGGCTCTGGAGGCCCCCAGGGCCCCGTCCTCGGGCCCCTTCTGCTCTGGTTCATTTCCTCCTCTTCCTCTGCTGTTTCCAACTGAATCCATCAACTGATTATTTTATTGATTTTACTTTTTCTGTCCTCAAAAGTCAACAAAGGTGCCCATAAATATCATCATCATCATCATCATCACGTGGGTTCTGGAGCTCTCTGCTCGGTTCTGTTGAATCTTCCTGGTTCTGACCGGTTCTACCTTGGCTCAGTCAGACCAGAACCAGAACCAGGAGTTCTACTGCCCACAGGGTCGGTTCAGTGAGAAGGTGAGGGACGGAGACATGACCTCTGACCTCTCAGTAACACTGTGACCCCTGGTTCCGGTTGAATTCCCGGGATTTAAAATGATTCTCTGTGGGAACAAGGCGGTCCGATTCAGGCTCGGTTCTGTCTCTGGCTGGATGAAGATGATGATGATGATGATGAAGATGAGGAGGAGGAGGGTCAGTGCGGATCTTTTCCCGTCATCCCCTGCAGCAGCCCCCCCTCCCGCTGCTCCTCCTCCGGTTCCGTCCCTCTGCAGACTCTTCCTCCGCAGCTGAAGTTTGGATCCTCGCTGTGGATCTCTTAGCAGGTAAGCGGCGCCCTGCTCCGGCTCGGCTCGGCTCGGCTCGGTTCGGTTGGGTTTTAGTGGCCGCTGTGATTGGAGCTCCGGGTTGGGGGGGTTCTGGGTTTCTGAAGGCCAACGTCGCTTCGGGTCGGGAGTCCGGGCTCAGTCTGGCCGTTTGGACTCCGGATCCAAACCTGACAACCTCGGAATGTCCGAATCAGAACCGCGGTGCTCCGCCAGGCCGGCCGCGCCGTGTGGCCGGGCCGCGGCGCCTCACGGGCCGCCTGCGGCCCCCCGCCCTCCGGGATGGAGGATGGAGGATAATAACGGTGCGCCATGCAGGCGTGGCCGCGGGAGGAGGCGGTCTGCCCGGGACAATAACAGCCGCCGCGGCCGCGATTCCGCCCTCGTTTCCCGGTCCGTTTCAGCGGCGGCTCGGACCGCCTGTGGCCGGCCTCAGCCGTCTCTGCCCGGCTCTCTGCGGCTCCGCAGGCCGCCGCGCAGCTCCGCTCGGTCCGTAGAAAATGCTGGAAAACAGCGGCCTACATCCCAGGGTTCTGCTGGAGGAACGTTCCTCTCAGAGAACCGAACCCTGCTGCAGGTGTTCAAACTGCAGAACCAGACTCAACAGGAACTTCACGGGTTCCGAAAGATCCACAGTGGAACCAGGACTTCAGCTCCTCATTCTCTTGGTTCTGAAAAGTTGCAGGAAGTTCTGATAGAGCCGGGCCAGCTGTAGCTGCTGGTTCTGACCCGAACACGCAGAACGTTCTCCTACTGGCGGTTCTGAACGGTCTGCCAGTCCAGAAACATCCTCCAGGAACTCTGGGAAAATCTGGACTCAACTGAAGCCGGTCTGAACGGATCGGTTCCGATCCAATTCCTGTTTTTGTTTGTCCTCCACATGTTTCCTTAGGGAGTGAAACTGGAAATCAGTGGAGCCCACAGTGGGCCCCTGAGGGCCACATCCTGCATGTTTTAGTCTCTCCCTGGTTTAACCACCTGGGTCCAATGAGGCTCACGAGGAGAACCTGAGGAGAACATGGACCTGCTGAAAGGTTCTTGGTACCAGGAAGACACTAAAACATGCTTGGCCCCCAGGACCCACTTTGGGCTCCCCTGCTGTCAATGTTTCTGATGTTTGGCGGCCATCTTGGATGGGTCTGAGGACTCAATCAATCGATGATCAATCAATCAGTTTCCTATGTGAAGCCTGGAATCCTAGTCAGGTTCTGGTTCTGAATGAAGTCGGGCAGGAAGCCGTCGCTGGATCAGGTTCTGGAGGTTGACGTTCAGTTTTTCCTAAATACCGGGACTCAGTGGACCGGTTCTGGTGGGTTCAGGAATGTTGGGGCAGTTTTCCCTGCAGCTGCTCTGCCGTCTGGCTGCCTGACAGCTGTTCCTCAACCTAAGGGGCGGGGACTGCAGGGGGACGGGTCGTGTGTCTCTGGGGGACGCGTGTTCAGGACCCGACACCTGCCGGTTCTGTGTGCACAGCCAGAACCTGGAAATCTTGATGAGATCAAACATCCAGCCACTCCCTGGCTTGGACTTCATGCTGTTGCTGTTCAGTAACGATGATGATGAACATCAATAATTAATGTCTAACTCAGAATAAGGAGCTTCACATTTACCCGTCCAGCTGGTTTGAGGCTCAACTGCTTTGGTCTGATCCATTACTCTAGCACCTCTCTGCAGTGGCGGAGCCAACAGAGCCCTGGCCCCCCTAGTGCCACCCCACTGGAAATTGTCATTTTAAATATAATACTTATGAGATCGGCAAAGATTTGCCAGGAAAACTGTATTTTCCGACTGTCCCTGAAGGCAGCCCGATGGCCGACGCTGTTCATTGGTTAAACTGACATGTTGGTTCCTGCTTTTTCCAAAACACATCAACGGCTTTAGAGTTACAGCGTCAGGAGTTTTGCAGGTATTTCCAACATTTTACGCTCAGCAGTAACCGCTGTTTCCTTCCTAATGAGAGGCGGCTCTTGTCATACATTTCTAAAAAGAAACAAAATGGTTGTGTACCGCTGCATAGTGCCTCGTTTATTATATTAGCCATGCTAGTGCTGGTAGATCGTGTTTAGACAGATTCTTTTAACATGTTTTAGTGACATGCTGCCCTCTAATGTTTTATATCTCCCAGCTCTTGCTTGAAATGTGTGGTAAGAATATGAGAAAAACCATTAAGTTTTATAATGACTGAAATGTAAGTCGGCTATGTCATATGAAAGCTTTGAATTATAACCTAACTAGTTATATTAATTAATTTTGAACGAAAGGAAACAAATATTTGTTTCCTTTCGTTCATCATTTGTATATGGACCCTCTGATAAAGCCTTGCTCACCTTTGGGCCCCCCTTGGAAAAAAGTCTAGCTCCGCCACTGCCTCTCTGACCTCTATTTGACCCCTCTCTGACCCCTGACACGTCTGAGAGCAACTTTCGTTGCCATTGCTTGAAATGCAAGAGGCCCCGCCCCCACAGATCGCAGAGCCTTCCCATCCATCCTGTTCATCTAGCAGAGCAGAAACTTTTCATTCCCCACTGAGTGGAAGTCGCTAACGACGTTAGCCTGGGCTAGTATGGTAAACAAGGCTCACATAGTTAGCTGGTTAGCTAACGCGAGCGCCAAGAACGTAACTGAAAGCATTTGGATCAAAACGGTGAAATCAATGTCACCATTTTAAGTTCATTAGCAGCTTAGCGTTTTGCTCGGTCAGACCAAGTTAGCTAACCCTTCTGGATGCTAGCGCAGGTCAAAGACGACGTTTCTCTCTGATGTGAAACATTTCCAGGAACAATAAAGTTTAAGCAGACATTTGGAAGATGTTCGGGTGCTG